TTTGCCCATCGGAGTGCCTGTATGAGTGCCCAGAGCTTAGCACATTGCACCAACGGCCCTGGCTAGGACCACCTCTCATCCTTCATGGTTACCGCATATCCAGCATGACAAACCCCATCTTCCATGAAGCTGCTCCCATCCGTGAACAGAACGAGGTCAGCATCAGACAAGGGTGTCATTTGCAAGTCAGGGCGGCTGGAAAAGAGCTCATCAGTGACACTGAAGCAGTCATGATTGGGAGGGCCTGTCTCCGTGGGCAAGAAGGTAGCAGGATTTAAAGTTTTTATAGAAATAAACCACAAGCAGGGATTCTCACAGAGAAGGGCTTGATACTGAGTAACCCAATTATTTGAGAGCCAATGATGTTCCCTTGTGTTTAGCAGTTCTAGGACTGGGTGTGGAACCTGCACAGTCAGTTCCTGACCTAAAGTCAGCTTGTCTGGTTTTTTTGAATCAACAGAACTGAAGTTGCTAAGGCCTAAAAACAATGAGGCCATCTTTTTGATACTGAATCTAAATTCTTAGACAAATATGCCACCAGTTGATTCCATGGGCCTACTTGGGTCAACATTCCAAGGGCCACCCTGGGTTTTTTTTTCAGTCATATATAGAGTAAAAGGCCGCTTTACATAGGTATCCCTAGGACTGGGGTGGCTGCCTAAGTCAATTTTAAATTTTTTTAAAAGTTTCCTGTTTTACAGTCCAATGCTGATGATTCTCCCCTTGTCCCTTTAGGGCTTCATAAAGGAGTTTAGAGATTTCTGTAAAACCCAGAATCCAAATTCTACAGAAGCTTGCTACCCCAAGAAACCTTCTCAGCTGTTTCTTTGTTTGGGGTTTAGGGATGGCACTAATAACCTGTTTTTTTATTTCCTAGGCAACACATGCCCTGTGTTATTTGAAATTCTAAATATTTAACATGCTGTACACAAATGTGGGCTTTTTCCCATGATACCTTATATACAGTTTTCCTGTAAGAGCAGCAACAACTTTTTGGTGCCTTCCCAGCAACTGTTCTTGGGTTGATCTGCATAACAGTAAGCCAGCCACATACTGCAGTAGGACAAGGCAAGCAAGTCCTTGGCTAGGGCTTCCCCAAAAAGCATGGGTGAGTTTTAAATCCCTGTGGCAATCTAGTCCAAGTAAACTGAGTATTTTTCCCATCACTTGGGTCTTCCCATTCAAATGCAAAGATGGGTTGACTGAGGGGAGTGATGAGAAGGCAAAAGAAGGCATCTTTTAAATCCAAACAAGTAAACCGTGCTGTTTCTGGGGGTATCAGACCCAACAAAGCATAGGGGTTAGGGACCACTGGGTGCAGCATTACTGTTCTGTCATTTACAGCCTGTACATCTTGCACTGGCCTATGGTCCCCATCAGGTTTCTGAACAGGCAGCAAAGGGGTGTTCCAAGGTGACTACCTTCTCTAATAAGTCCAAATTCCTTTAATCTCATGATATGGGGTTTAATTCCAATTCAGGCTTGCCTAGACATTGGGTATTGTTTTACACCAATGGGGCCGAATTGTCTTTTAATTTTATAACTGTGAGTGGATGATTCTTAGCTAAGCCTGGGGGCG